ATAAAAAGTTGATCAACAAATAATGCCATTTCTTTGAGCGACGCTTGCGGTATTTGCAGACGATGAGAAATGACCCTGACAATGACGTCGACCGGGACGTACCGCGACATAGTGCTTACCGGTAACATCATGGAAACGCGATGCTGGAAGACCTCGCCTCTTCGTCCCTGGCTGGTAATTACGTTCTCCGTCCCAGAAATAATTTACATCGACCCTCGTTGCCCTGACGACTGATTTACGCCCAAGCCGAGGTCAAATTTGTGTTATCCAACACCGGGCTAAACTCGGTTCCAACTTTCAGAGGGCGGCTTTGCCTTTTCTATTTTTCATAATTTCTTTTAAAAATATAATCCCAGCGACGCGACGTGAAAAAATAAAAATATATACGAGGGGTGTGTCAAAAGTACGTTCCACTATTTTTTTTTAAACCCGTTTGGTTGGCGGAAAACGTTTGAAATTTCGAGGGAATATTTGTCTGTGTGTAGTGCAAGCCCTGTAAAATCCCTATGCGCGTGCATTCATCGCTAGGTCAGTCACGCCCCGGTCGCCATGGAGACTCCACTCGCTCCTACCGTCTCCATGGCGACGGGGCCTGACTGACCTAGCGATGAATGCACGCGCATAGAGATTTTATAGGGCTTGCACTACACACAGACAAATATTCCCTCAAAATTTCAAACGTTTTTCCCGCCAACCAAACGGGTTTAAAAAAAATAGTGGAATTTACTTTTGAGACACCCCTCGTATATATAATCGCTCGAAACCATGGGCAGTAAATAATCGCTGCTACGTTATGACCACTTTTTATTTCTCCAATTTCAAGAGTGCACACTTATGTTTGAAATCAAGCGTCTAGATACGATACGGTTTCTAATCTCGAAGAAATTTCGACGAGTAGATTTCCTCTGGCGACGGGGCACAATGGAAACACCCGCGTAAGAGCGAAAAAAAAATGGAATTATCTTCGGGTTTTTGTGCTCGTTATGCAGTCAAGGGCGAACCACGAAGCGTAGGCGAGACCGAAATGAAGCGTAAAGTGCGTAAAATTGCCGCGGCCGTTAGTTTCGCCAGGGTTCCGCGCGAACCGTAGAACCGTCCCCTCTTCGTGAACCGCCGCGGCCGTTGTGTAAATTGCATCTGGGTCAGGTTGCCCCATAAACTCGACCATTAAAGCTGGCCCTAGTCGTCGCCGATAATTCACAGGTCTTGCTTCGCCGCGGACTCTTGGATACGAACTCTTTCCTTACACTATTGCTTCTAGGGCCATCTTAAGAATAACGGTATCTCCTTGAGGGCGTTACGCGGTTTTGAGATCCGAAAAATACAAAACAACATTTGAGATGAGAAGACGAGAACATTCTAGCGATGTAGACCTGTTAACAAATGGAAGCTTTTGTTCTTAAGGCTTTGGCATTAAATTCTTTTAAATCATATGCCTGGATATATCTATTATACGTATGTGTTATGTACTATGGTATTGTGAAATATTTTAATGACAATGATAAAAAAAGGTTTCGAACATTACTGGTTACACGGTAAGGACAAGAATTGTGTAAAACTTGCAGTCTTGAGGTAAAATGGCACCGATGCGTTGCGATGAGGGATAACATGTAAAGACGTTTTAACGAATCACCTCGTCGGAATCGAGACGAAGGGGAAAAAAATCGAACCCGTTGGGTAGCACGGAATGTCGTAACCAGACGCAAGATGGAGCCGAATAAAAAGCGAATCGGGAGGCGCGGTATGTATAAAGGATAATACCGAGGGCGTCGTAAGATCCAGGCAGGTCTTGGACACGGGTTTTCAAGGAGAGAACAGAGCGGAGAGGGTCGCGAATCAGCCTTTCGTGTCGTCGCAAAAAGGAGCAACGGATTGACGTGGGACAAATTGACAAGGGCCCATTACGTTCGGAGAGGTGGGCTCCAGGGCGTCCCTCGTAGACCATAAAATCCTACCGAGGATAATTCTGGGTCAGCTCTGGCGCAGGAACGAGCCGGCTTATTTCGAATAGGGTACCAATGGTACGCCTTTTATTTTAGAAAAATGAACTCGAAAAATGAAGAAAAAAGTAAATAGGTAACGGAGTTGAGAAAGACTTTTTAAAAGGTCTCCAGACGACTCGCTGACACAAATTTCACGGGTTCTCAAGGAATTCAGGAGTTGACCTGGGAACTCAATGGACCCTAAATCTGGAATATTGAAAAGTTATTGAGAAACTGAAAATCCATCTTTCGGAGATATCGATGCCTTTACCTAAGAATAGCCAGGAACTCGCCTTCGGGCGTTCACCGTGGACGTGGCGCGCAATTAATGGAAGAGCCAAGGATTTAACAAACTCTCAGGTGACTTAGCCCAAAAGACAATGGGGGCTCGAGTCAGCGATAAAGGATGTCCCTGGCCCACGCCTCGTGTAAGCCGACGTGTTCAATAATTCAAACATTCCTGCCGTCCGGCGTATGTAAATGGACAGAATCTCGCGAACGCGAGTCGCCGTTGAGGGAGGGCCAAATGGCGGACGATCTCCACTTCGGCATGTAAATACGAAATAAATACCGAAGCGCCGTTAATGCGACGTTCAGCGTTTCGAATGAAGCTCTCCCCGGGCAGCCGGAATGACGGCAACTTGACCGGGAGTCCCTTTGGAAGATCGTTAAATTTCTCTTACTTCAATGGGTTTCCTTATCGGGACTCCTGTCGTTTCCAAGAGTCTAATGATTCCGCGTTCTCTCGGTATCTCGCGAGGCTTTTATGTGTCGCGATTTCGACTCGTTCCCCGGTGTCTCCAAATTTTAATGCCTGTTTACCAAGGCCTCGACTCCCTCAATAAATGAAAGTATAGTTGTGAGGAAAGACCGCAATTGCAAGTTAGCCGCATTTGATCGGACCGGTCCTAAAATCGGTCATTATCGTTAGAGTTGACAATCCGATGTCGGAGTCAGCTTGCATCGAGCGTTTAATGATTCTCCGCGAACCTCCGTTTCCTTTTATTTAAACTTTCTGCGAACGTGTTATTTCCCCGGATCGGTGGTCACCTATGGAATCGTACGTGTGCACCGAATTACCGGTCTCATTTCGACCTCGTTCGTGCACGGTGCATACGAAGACGTACCTTCGCGTTTCCAGGTACTTCCAGTCGGATTCTTAAAACGCGAGAGGCACCTCTCGTGCATACCAAAGGGAATTAACTTACCGTCATCAAAGGACTCTGAAAATACACGGCTTTCCGGTTGGTCGCTAAAAAATCAAGCAAAGCTAAAAGCATTCACGCCACATCTAAAATGCCCACTTCCTCGCGGGATAAAATTATCCGAAAGATGCGTGGTTTGCATAATTAATGAAGTGCATTTTACAGAATGGCCTGAAATAAAAAATCAACGACTCACCTTCTACATAAATGAATACCGCACAAAGCTTGGTTGCCTTAAAACACTGGCATTACGTTCTCGAAAAGCTGTAGGCTATTATTTGATACCAACTACCTCCGCCTGTAGTAATCCGAAAATCCCTTACGACCTATGGAGCAAATGGACCCCTTTTGCCCGAAAACTCGGACGTTTCCAGAGGGAAGGAAACACGGGCATGGGATTCTTCACGTCCTCGAGCCACCTGGGCCTTATCTTTACTTAGCTTTCAAGTAGTCGGGAGGTAAGAATAAACGATCGGGCCCGTCGGCATGCCGCAAATCTTCATCGGCAGGCAAGCGCAAGGATGCAATCAAATAGCAGCACCTGTGTTCAGTCAATCGGCCCTTTCGGTCATTACCGCCATTTTTCACCGGCCGTTCCCCGAAGAGATGTACCTCTTCTTCGACGCACAGCCTCCTCTTGGGCCCACGAGCCGACATATCCCGATGCTATTTAATTGCGCCAGCTGCGCGCATCCCTCGAAGAATGGCCGCGATGCCGTTGCGTGCCCTGGCGTCGTACCTTCTTGACTTTGCCCATACCGCGTGTCATCAAGGAATCCCCGGGGGGAGCGGGAAGAATCCCGAGGGAGACAATTACCGAGATCGCCTCGGGCCTTCCCGGGAGAGACACATTGCCGACGCAATTCGCCCGGATGACTCCCATCATAAAGCCTTCCAGGTACGATGCTCGGGGATGTTCCTCGTCGCCGATAGACGGACCTAACTCGGCGGCAGCTGCAACGGCGAAGGCACTTCGACGTCATCTTCGAGCCGTGAAATTATTGTCTTTTTAAATGATCGGTACATGATATGTCATCGGTGACAAAGTTCTCTGCTGAATATAATTATTACGATGCACTATCGCGGAAAAATAACAAAATTAATATTTTCAAGGATACATTATGAATGTCGTTACGAATTTCCGTCTTGATCTTTTTCCTTGAGTATTTTGTCCACAAAAGATTTTGGTGATTTAATCATCAGGATTAAGGCACTAAAGTTGATGGCTTCTCGTCCTGGTGGAAAGAGAGGTATTCGAAGCCGGGTGTCCAGCGAGTCGCCGAGTTTCTTGCACCGAGCTTGGCGGTTTCATATGATGGCTTCCTGGCCAGCATCCTTTCTGCGAAGCAATCAACATCTGCCTGTACCTTTAATGATCGTCGATAATTGGACGATTATTAGCTGGCATCGCGTATCACTTCGTACGGTGCCATCGCCAGGCAAAAACCAGCTGATCGAACCTCGACGAATTGGTCCATGCCGTCCCGATCGACCCACTATTGCTTTTCGACTCGATGAAATACTGTTAATTGATACTAATTATCTCACCTGTACGCACAAAACCTCCCTATCCGTTCCACCTGTGAATGCAATACCGTTAATTGGTACTACTTATTTGAGCTTTACCGACAATACCTCCCTAGCTGATTCAAACCATGACAAACGTCAAATTTTTCTAACCGATATAATTTAACTCGGGTCAACCACATTCGATGGTGTCATACTAAAATTATTTTAAAATTCGATCTGACCTTGAAGATTATTTTCTACGATTGTAAGATATCTAGTTAATTACTTTTATCACGTTTTCCAGGTTTTACGGGCACCCAGTGCGAAATCGACATAGACGAATGCGCGGCGAAACCATGCCTGAACAACGGCGAGTGCACCGATCTCATAAACACCTTCAAATGCACCTGCGCCGACGGTTTCGCCGGTTCTCACTGTCAGATCAACATCGATGACTGTGCTTCCTCACCGTGCAAAAACGGTGGGACCTGCCAAGACAGCATCGCGAAGTATACCTGCGACTGTCCGCCGGGATTTACCGGGGCCTCCTGTGAAACCAACATCAATGACTGCCAATCGAATCCTTGCCACAGCGGCACTTGTATAGACGGCGAGAATTCTTTCACCTGCAACTGCTTCCCGGGCTTCACGGGGCTCCTCTGTCAAACACAGATCGACGAGTGCGAGAGCAATCCCTGCCAGTTTGGAGGTAGATGCGAGGACAAGGTCAACGGGTACCAGTGCATCTGTCGACCTGGCACCTCGGGAGTCAACTGCGAGGTCAACGTCAACGAGTGCTACAGCAATCCTTGCAGAAACGGAGCCAGATGCATCGACGGCATTAACAGGTACACTGTTATTAAAAATTAAAATTCATACACTTTTAGTACATAAGGTTGCAGTAAAATTATAAATTTGACGTTTCAACAGTGAATTAGTATACATTTATTATATAATTCCAAGTAAATTTACAATTTTATGACACCGTGTCGTAATTTTGTGAGATTTCGTAGAAAAATTATAAATTTCATGTTCGAAAGTTATTTGGTACGCATTGTTTGGAAATTTTTTACACGAGTTTTTAATTTTATGATCGTTTACATGAGTTTATTTTTAAACAAATTTAATCGAAAGATGACAAGTATCGGTGGTACTGGCGGAGAAGCATTTTTTTTTTACAGTGTACGTATAATCGTATAAACTCACCTTTGGAAGTGAACCATTTCATGAAATTTGTTCAACTCCATTCTGGCTCTTTTTGGGCAAAGTTTTTTTTACACCTTCTTGTATCGTTTAGGTATTCCTGCGAATGCGAGCCAGGATTTACTGGGCAGCATTGCGAGACCGACATTAACGAGTGCGCTAGCAATCCTTGCGCCAATGGTGGTCGCTGCATCGACTTGATAAATGGCTTCAAGTGCGAGTGTCCACGTGGTTATTACGACGCAAGGTGTCTGAGCGACGTGGACGAGTGCGCCAGTAATCCCTGCACCCACGGAGGAACCTGCGAGGACGGGGTTAACCAGTTCATCTGCCACTGCCAACCAGGGTATGGCGGCAAGAGGTGCGAAGCCGACATCGACGAGTGCGGCTCCAATCCGTGCCAACATGGCGGGATTTGCAACGACCGTCTCAACGGGTACAGCTGCAAGTGCCTGGCAGGGTACGCCGGCACCAATTGCGAGACCAACATCGACGACTGCGCCGACAATCCTTGCCAAAACGGCGGCTCTTGCATCGACCTCGTCAACGACTACAAGTGTGTCTGCGAGCTACCCCACACCGGAAGGAACTGCGAGGATAAACTTGACCCTTGCTCGCCAAATAAGTACGTATATAATTACAAATTAGCCCCATGAGATGGTAATTCAAGGACCTAGACCGCTACAAATATTCTGAATAGCTTAAATAGCGCTAAGTGATCGCAGTGCTTGCGATGTAAACGAAGGCGCGTCGTGATTTATGTGGAACGGTGGAGTTAACTTTGAAATTTTATTCGATAAAGGTGCCTCCACGGAGCGAAGTGCTCCCCGTCGTCCAATTTCTTGGACTTCGCGTGCACCTGCACCGTTGGCTACACCGGAAGACTCTGCGACGAGGATGTGGACGAATGCGTGATGACTTCGCCGTGCAGAAACGGGGCAACCTGCAGAAATACCAACGGATCGTACCATTGCGTCTGCGCAAAGGGATACGAGGGACGCGACTGCATCGTTAACACCGACGACTGTGCTTCGTGTAAGTAAAATGCATTGATCGTATTAGTTAGCGCGCCGTAATGTAGGAAGGATGGATGTGATGGGTAAATTTATTTTGTACAGTTCCATGTCAAAATGGTGGCACGTGTTTGGACGGCATCGGAGACTACACCTGCCTCTGCGTCGACGGATTCAACGGAAAGCACTGCGAGATCGACGTGGACGAGTGCCGCTCGGCACCCTGCCAGAACGACGCAATTTGCAAGGAATACGTCAACTCCTACACGTGCCAATGTCAACTCGGCTTCTCGGGGATCAACTGCCAGACCAACGATGAAGATTGTACGGATAGCAGTTGTATGAACGGCGGGAAATGCATCGACGGGATCAATAACTATACCTGTGTCTGTCCGCCGGGGTACACTGGATCGAATTGTCAGTACAGGATAAACGAGTGCGACAGTTCACCCTGTTTGAACGGCGCTACTTGTCACGATCATATTCAGTATTACACGTGCCACTGCCCTTACGGTTACACCGGGAAGCGTTGCGACAAGTATGTCAACTGGTGCGAAGACAACCCCTGCGAGAACCAGGCTACCTGCGTACAACACAAGAACAAGTATCACTGCAATTGTTCGCCTGGCTGGACCGGCAAGGTCTGCGACGTTGAGATGGTTTCGTGTAAGGACGCCGCTATTAGGAAAGGTGTGCCCGAGATTACCTTGTGCAACAATGGAACCTGTGAGGACATAGGCAATAGTCATCGATGCCACTGTACGGAAGGTTATACGGGTTCCTACTGCCAGGAGGAGATCGACGAGTGCGACTCCGCCCCGTGTCAAAACGGAGCAACGTGTAAGGACCTCGTGGGCTCGTATCAATGCCAATGCACGAAAGGCTTCCAGGGACAGAATTGCGAACTCAACGTCGACGACTGCCGTCCAAATCCCTGCCAGAACGGTGGCACTTGTCACGATCTGATAAACAACTTCAGCTGTTCCTGCCCACCTGGTACACTGGGAATTATTTGCGAGATCAACGTGGACGACTGCGTTATCGGAGCGTGTCACAATAACGGAACGTGCACCGATAAAGTTGGCGGATTCGAGTGTAGGTGTCCTCCAGGTTTTGTCGGTCCACGTTGCGAGGGCGATATCAACGAATGTCTTTCGAATCCTTGTTCCACGCCCGGAACTCAGGACTGCGTGCAGCTCGTCAACAATTACCATTGTAACTGCAAACCAGGATACATGGGTCGTCATTGCGAGGTTAAAGTGAACTTCTGTGACAGTTCACCTTGCCAGAATGGCGGAGTCTGCACCGCTCGTCAAGCAGGTCACACCTGTATATGTCCAAACGATTACTATGGAAATAATTGCGAGTTCGCCGGTTCTTATTGCGACACGGAACCTTGCCTCAATGGCGGATCCTGCAGGATCACCGATAGCGACGTGGGATACAGGTGTCACTGCCCACCTGGAACCACTGGTACTCATTGCGAGATCGACGCCAGGGACGAATGCGCCAGTAATCCTTGTCAGCAATCGGAGGCTATATGCGAAAACCTTATCGGCGACTACGCGTGTTACTGTCCACCAAGGTGGACAGGAAAAAATTGTGAGATCTACGACCCCAACTACAGAGGAGGAGTCTTTGGAAGACCGAACTCCAATAATCCCAAGACCATGAACGCTTACGACTTGAATTTTGAGCGAGAGAAGAAAAAATGTATAGAAAATCGCTGCGAAGAGAAATCCGGAAACCATCACTGCGACGAAGAGTGCAATCGGTTTGCCTGCAACTTCGATGGAAACGACTGCTCCTTGGGAATCAATCCATGGCGTAATTGCACCGCGCCGATCAATTGCTGGGATGTCTTTATGAATGATATCTGCGACGAAGTCTGCAACAATGCGCAATGTCTCTTCGACGGGAGAGATTGCGAGAAAAAGCTTCTGCCCTGCAAGTAAGTATATCGTTTCTTCATAATCGAATAAAAATCATAGGATCTCTGTTAGTCCGTTTTAGGTTTCAACTAATTGCGTACTTTTTATTTTTACAGCCCCGTTTACGATGCTTACTGCCGGAAGCACTACGCTAACGGCTATTGCGATTACGGATGTAACAACGAGGAATGCAACTGGGATGGATTGGATTGCCGACCAAAGAACGAACCACCTTCCTTAGCGGAGGGGGTAATTTCCGTGGTGGTCAGAATGGACATGCAAACGTTCCGTATGAACAAGGTGGCCTTCTTGCGAGACATTGGCCATGAACTGAGGACGACTCTTCGAGTCAAGCAAGACGAGCTCGGTCACGACATGATATATCCCTGGAAAAGAGAAAGAGAACCTGGACTAGAAACTAGCATTTTTGGAAGACCGACTACCATATACACCGACAACCAAAGCGGTATCATAGCGTATCTGGAAATCGACAACAGAAAGTGCACGGACACTCAGGGCGCAGTTTGCTTCCCTTCAGCAAACGAAGCTGCCGAATACCTAGCCGCGACTGCCTCTAAGCATTCCCTTTCGAGGAACTTCCCTATCGAGCAGGTGCGAGGTGTAATCGGGACCCAGAGACCGGATTATCCGGATACACCGACGAACTATAAATACGTCTTCATCGGAGTCATTATCGTCATTCTTGGTGGTCTCTTGGTCGGTGTTCTGGTAACGGCTCAGAGAAAACGTGCTGCAGGAGTAACATGGTTCCCCGAAGGGTTCCTAAGGACCAACAGCGGAAGCGGTCAGAGGCGAAGATCCAGAAGACGCGGACCCGATGGCCAGGAGATGAGGAATCTGAACAAGCAGCCGTCCGTCAATTGTATGGACATGGACGTGGGCAATGGCCGTGCTCAACAATGGTCGGACGACGAATCCGATCTTCCGCCATCGAAGCGCATGCGAGCGATCGAACCAGGATACGCGAGCGATCACACCGCCATCACCGATTACGAGGAAACCGAGCCCAGGATGTGGACTCAACAGCACTTAGACGCGGCTGAGATCCGAGGAAGGCCGGATGCCGGGGTTCTGACCCCACCCAGCCTAGAGCACGGTCAAGACGTCGACGCCAGAGGACCCTGCGGCATGACTCCCCTGATGGTGGCGGCGGTTCGCGGAGGGGGACTCGACACCGGAGAAGAGGAGGACGAGAGCGACGGGACCGCCGCCGTCATAGCGGATCTCGTGGCTCAAGGTGCCGATTTAAACGCCACTACCGACAAAAGCGGCGAGACCTCGCTGCATCTAGCCGCCAGGTATGCCAGGGCCGACGCCGCCAAACGGCTTCTGGATGCCGGGGCGGACGCAAACTCGCAAGATAATACGGGAAGGACGCCGCTGCACTCGGCCGTCGCCGCCGACGCCATGGGAGTGTTTCAGATCCTCCTGCGGAATCGCGCTACCAACTTGAACGCTCGCATGCACGACGGGACCACGCCTCTAATTCTGGCTGCACGGCTGGCCACCGAAGGCATGGTCGAAGATCTGATAAACGCCGACGCAGACATCAACGCCGCGGATAACAGCGGCAAGACCGCCCTTCACTGGGCCTCCGCGGTGAACAACGTCGATGCGGTGAACATCCTGTTGGTCCACGGAGCGAATCGCGACGCGCAGGACGACAAGGACGAGACGCCGCTGTTCCTGGCTGCCAGGGAGGGCAGTTTCGAAGCGTGCAAGGCCCTGCTCGACACCTTCGCCAACCGGGAGATAACCGACCACATGGACCGCCTGCCTCGCGACGTGGCCAGCGAGCGGCTCCACCACGACATCGTGCGGCTTCTCGACGAGCACGTACCGAGATCCCCGCAGATGGTCTCCGTGATCCCGAACGGTACTCTGATGGGTAAGCGACCGACGAAGGGACAATTTGCCTTCGAGCCGTTTCCCTTCCCAAACTCAGTATCGCTAACGCGCGCGAATCCCTTCGATGCTTCAGGATCGCCGAACCACCCTCAGCTAATCACCCACCCGACGGTGATCGGCTCGGCTCCGAAGCAGCCCAAGTCGAAGAAGCGTCCAAAGGCCGCGACCGCGGGGAACCCCAACAGCCCGGAGTCCGAGGGCGCCGTCGCGGTCAGGCGAAAACCCTCGGTGAAAAAGCCGCCGACCAAACGAGGAGCTCAGCCCCCAAACCAGGAAATCCCTCAGGGAGCGGAGGGAGCCGAGGGGAACTTGCCGAGCCCTTACGACAGCGCCAGCCTTTACAGCAACGCCCTGCCCCTGGTCGGACACACGGCCACTGCCAAGCAACCGCCGCCCTACGAGGACTGCATAAAGGGCCAATCCATACAGGGCCTGCAGCAGCTGGGCCTGGACACCTTTACGACCAACTACGGCCTGCCTAATTTTCACGACCAGCTGATCGCTTCCCACCAGCGACAGAGTCAGGGTATGGTGAACACCCTGTCGCCTCCCTACAGCAACCAGTCGCCCCCGCACTCAGTGCAGTCCAACATGACCCTGTCGCCGCAGGCGAGCTACATGGGCTCGCCTTCCCCAGCCAAGAGCAGGCCTTCGCTCCCGACCTCTCCCACGCACATCGCGGCGATGCGGCAGGCGACGCATCAAAAGCACGGCAGCATGCCGCCGGTTGGATTCGACTTCGATAACCTACCCTACTCTGCCGGGCCGCCGCCGCCGCCTCAACAACAGCAGCAGCAACAACAGCAACAACAACAGCAGCAGCAGCAAATGCAGCAGACGCAGCAGCAGATTCAACAGCAGCAGCAGCAGCAGCAACAACAACAACAACAGCAGCAACAGCAGCAGCAGCAGCAGCAACAGCAGCAGAGTACGCAGCAGCAGCAACAACAGCCCCAGCAGTACTATCAGTACTTGACGCCGCCGTCGCACCACTCGGGGCCCGACGTGACGCCGCAGCACCTGATGCAGGCCCCTGAAAGCTTTCCAACGCCCTCGCCGGACAGCCCCGGGCACTGGTCATCCAGCTCGCCGCACTCGAACAGCGACTGGTCGGAGTGCATGGCGTCGCCGAACGCTTACGTTTCCGGCGCCGCGCACCAAAGCAACAAAGGCTCCGAGGCGATCTACATATGATGAGAGCTCCCGCGGGCAGCCCCTCTCTCCGTCTCTCCGCGTCAACGGACCCGGCCTCTCGCGAGCTCGAGCGGGTTGCCGGCGTAGCGTCCGGGTAGCGACCCCGCGGCGAAGCTGCGACCGCGAGGGGGAGGGCGGGGACGGGTCGCGGGCTCGCTCGAGGCGAGTCAACCGCGTCCCGCGTGGAACGCCTGCGTCCGTTGCACCTCCGCGTCCGTGTTCGGACCCCGGGCCCTACGAGGAGCGCGCTTTCGCTTCGTCCTCGTGTAATAGCCGCACCGTGCCTCCGACGAAGCCGAGCGAACGCAAGGATAAAAAGTTAAAACGTAGCTATCTATACGTACATATATTTTTTATATCGATGAGTTTCTATATATAGATATATCGTACCGCGAATGGCTCAGCTCAATATCAAGGTGCCTTCGACTTGCCAGAGTGAAGACCCGACGGACAATAATTAAGGAACGAGACCTTGCTACTACAATAGGGATTGTACATAAATTCAGTGGACCAGCGTGCATACTAGGGGATACGTACTCCGCGCGACGACGCCGACGATTGTCTAGCGCTACGATATACGTGTTAATATTCTATTTAATATGTACGCGCGCACGGCATAGTCATACATAGAGGGATGGCGCGTCTCCGAGCGGAACGGCGAGTTACTCCGCGCACCGTACTACCGAATGGCGGGACCGGGTCGGACGCTCACCGGGAGTCGCAACTCTCGGCGAGCCTCCGGCCGTCCTCCTGACCCGGAGCGCGCGGCGGACGGACCGGACGAATACCGTGCCTTCGATTATTGCCTAGGTAAGACGCATCGTAGGTAAATTGCTAAATCGTGCGTTTCGCTGAACGCAGCGTTTCCAAATGGCCTTTACGACTAGCGGTTAGGATAATATAATTAGCCCGAATTAGGCGTAGGATTTAGAGATACGCGAGAGACGAGGTAGACCGGTCGGCGCGGCATCGGGAATTCCTTCGTTGCTCTTCCGGCGCGAGCCCACGTTCCATACGCAGACATTCCATACGCTCGTTTTCATCCCTTCGTTCCTTGTTCGCGCTCCCCTCCTACCATTTTATTTCTCTACCATTTCCTACTTCTCCTTCGCCCTGACTAACCATCTAGGATAGAATTTACTACGTTAATCTTTGCGAGAACTAGTTCCCTTAAATTAAGTACGCGCCGGCGAGAAAGGAAACGATTCTCCGAAGCCACGTCTACCCAAAGTCCTTGGCGACGCGTACAGTCGACGTCAACGCCTCGTCTCGGGCGTATCGCTCGGAGGACGCGAAATCCTCCACCCTACGAAATTCCAGTGCACTCTCGCGATCGTCTCTTAAGCGGCCTCTTAGAAACGATCCGAAATCGAGTCGCGGCCGCATGTTGTACGCGGACTTGACATCGAGACAACTTTAGTTCCCTTGATATTGTAAATACTCCTTTATCCTACTTACCTTATACTCTGTAGAGTACTTTTATAATTATATCCTTCTCTCGATTTTTGTACAAACTGTTTTTACATATTTTTGTACCACTTTAGTTAGCCGGTAACAGCGTTGCTCCTGCTATTCGCGCAAGATGGCATGCACACGGTAATCTCGTTTCCTCGATCGTTATATCGACAATCCCCCTCCCCATACTTATTTACGTGGATTTATTTCCGTTACTCCGTGAAAATACTCCTTTTTTTCTCTCTCTCTTCTCCGCTCTCTTCTTCTGCCTCTTGGTGCAATACCGAGTCACGCAATGGTGCGACGGAACTCTTCATTTTCACTTATCCAGATCCGACGCGGTATCGAGCCTGTACATTCCGTTCTCGTATGTAGAGATTCGATATCTATTTATGAAGCAGGGGGTGCATTTAAATTGTTTGTTTAGATCAACTAATGACGTTGCGAATAAGAGTTTGAATTGTTTCACGGTTGCAGATGTTTAATATTAGTCGTATGGTGTGCCAAAAGTAAGAATCTGGAAATTGTTATCGCGCCACGCTGGATTAAATCATACGCAACGAGATTGACTTTACATGACACTTGACGGCGTATGTCGCAAGAGAATGCACGGACGATTTAGAAATTTGATATACAATTTAAATATGAGAGATTCCATTATAGAAAAATATACCGATCCATTTATGCTCGAATATATTGTAAATTATTATACGTCTTAGGGAATAGCTTAAATAATGAACGGTTGAATCTTTTTTTCATGGACCTAACAGATTATGAAATTTTTATTTGACGTTATTTCCAAAAATCTGTTGAACACCGAGGAAAATGGCCATTAAGTATAATACATACTTTCTTGAATTTCCAAATTGTCTGGGTTCTTTTGTTAAAACGTACTGAGCACCCTACATTGATCAGTGAGAATAGTACTGTAATTAATTTCAGACATATCAATTGATGGAACTCTTCCTGCGTTCTGTATTCGAGAAAATCGATTTGCACTTATCGTGATAAATGCGTGTATCAATGGATACGTATGTCATGTACGTATAACAAAAGGCTGGATGGACGAGAAAGAATACCCGTCCTTACAAAACTTTTAGGTAACCGTTCTCGGTGCACCATCTCCCTCTGTGTTAAAAGTGGTTACGCTCTAAGAATAGCCTACGGTTATAATTATTAAGTTAGACCACTCTATTTACTACAATAGAACTTGTTATTCCTTGTAACTTGTAAAAAGTACTGAGTTTTATTAGTATTAACTATTTGGTAAGCGAGCTAAGAGTACGTTTGATCTTACAACATCCTCATTCCCCAACATTTTTATAACTAAGTTATGTCTTTTAAACAGATGTAATAATAAAGATAATCTAACATTCTCCATAGGGTTGTTGTTCTGTTCTACAGTGCTATGCTTCCGCATTTTTACTCTTTAATAATAAGCATAGGTACTTCTAGTATATTTCGACAGATTTTACACAACAATCAAATTGTATTATAGCAATAAAAAATAAAAAAGCTAAAAATAATCATGCTTGAGCTTCAATACTTCCATCACGAAGCACAATAAATTTCACAATCCTTTATTACGTATAATTTCCTTTTTTAATCCGTGTCACGTTGTCGCTCCAAACGGAAGCTTACATCCGGTGGGAACTCAAATTTCAACAGTAGGCAACCGCGGTTGGATCGAGCTCCTTTTCGAGAAATCCAAATGTAGCGTTTCTTTCCTCCCATGACGCTTTTACGTCCAAATTACTTTTCCATCTTATCTTTCCATCTCGATGAAAAAAGTTATTCCAGCTGCACAATTTCCAATTGTATAATACCGCCCGTGTTAATATATTATTATTAAGGAATATTATTGCAATAGAATGAAAAACAATTTAACTACAAAAATTATAGTTTAGTTCATTCTAACCGCGGTTACGTAGTAATACATAATTACTGTACATTTTTTCAAACATTATATACCAAATTAAAACGCTAAATCGTTCTATACATGAAGAAGGTGCGCTAATAATTACTTCTATTTACATTACGTTGAGATGTTAGCATAAATTTGGTATTTTCCTGTTTGTTGGTATTTTCAATTTTGAAATTTGCCGTCAAATTCGCGGGCTACACTTCTTGCACAAGAGATGAGTTGCAGACAGTTACAGATTGCTCACGGGCAGGGTCGTGCAGACATGAGTTGGGAGACTGCTCACGGGCAGGATCGTGCGACCGCATCCTGTGCTGCCCTCTGGATTCGTACGTTAGCAGAGATGAGTTGGGAGATTGCTCACGGGCAGGATCGTGTGATCGCATCCTGTGCTGCCCTCTGGTTTCGTTCGTTAGCTTTCACCGTTTTTTGCCACCACGGGCGACGGAACGAATTTCTAGTAGGGGCCAGAGATGAGTTGGGAGATTGCTCACGGGCAGGATCGTGCGATCGCATCCTGTGCTGCCCTCTGGTTTCATACGTTAGCTTTCACCGTTTTTTGCCCCCAAGGGCGGCGCAACGAATTTCAGATAGGAGCTCGCGCACTCGCGATGGCGGTACCATCTACCAGTCACCGTTGGCGGCTCACGTACTCGTGATGGTAATACCATGCGGCAGTTGACCGTGGTGGCTTACCTACGCTTACCGACACTGCTCGCTTTTGATGGTAAGAGAAGATCACTCGTGACGCTCCTTTTGACTTTATCTACTTATCCACTACTATTAAGTACATTGTTGCCTCGAAGTCGACGTGATGCGGAGCTTTGCGGCCACGTCGGTGTCGCGTACGGAACTCTCATGCAACGAATCTGTGTTAGTGCGATCGATCCTAGAAACCTTCGCGCGTCCCAACCAGTCAAGCGTTAAACACGGGTCGAGACGTTGAGTATGTGTGCGTTCGGCGCTACACTCGACGAGTATGCGCGAGAGTCGAATACTGCGAAAAATCCTCCCGAGGCTTACTTAACTGGGGATGTAAGCCGAGTCATTTCGCGTATGATATTTACATTTCCCTACTAGCGTTTTCGAGCATTTTCAAGCGTTTCTATAGCGTTTTTGAACGTTTTCGAGCGTTATCTAGCGTTATCGAGCGATTTTCGACAGTTTTCGAATGTTTTAGAGCCTCTCTTGATCATTTTCAGAGCACTTTCGAGCTTTTTCACGCATTTTCAGAGCGTTTTCGAGTGTTATCGAGTGATATTCTAGTGTTTCCGATCGTTATCGAGCGTTTTCGAGTGTTTTCGAACGTTTTTAGAACGTTTTCGAGCGTTTTCGAGTGTTTGCGAGCATTATCGAGCGTTTTCAAGCGTTTTCGAGCGTTTTTCGACCGTTTTCGAGCGTTTCTCGATCATTTTCAGAGCGTTCTCGAGCGTTTTCACGCATTTTCAGAGCGTTTTCGAGTGTCATCGAGCGTTTTTCGAGTGTTTTCACACGTTTTTAGAACTTTTTCGAGCAATGTCGAGCGTTCTTCGAGTGTTTTCGAATGTTTTTTAAGCGTTTTCGAGCGTTATCGATCGTTTCTCGAGCACTGTCGAGCGTCATCGATCGTTTTCGCGCGTTTTTCAAGTGTTTTCGAGCCTAATCGAAGGCCGTACAGTGCCGCTGAGTGTTGTTAAGTGCAGTAGAGTGCCGGAGAGTTGCGGAAGAGTACCGGAGAGTGCTGGAGAGTGCCGGAGAGTTCCTGCAGTGTGCCGGAGAGTGCCGGAGAGTGCCGGAGAGTGCCGGAGAGTGCCGGAGAGTGCCGGAGAGTGCCGGAGAGTTGCCGCAGAGTGCGGCAGAGTGCGGGAAAGTTGCCGGAGAGTGCCGGAGAGTGGCGGAGAGTGCGGGAAAGTTGCCGCAGAGTGCCGCAGAGTGCTGGAGAGTGCCGGAGAGTGC